AGTATGAAGAGTTCTTAAAATATAAACAATAGACTATGAGAGCATCCAGCCATTTCATTCTTGGATATTTATCTGAGGAAAATGAAAACACTAATTTGAAAAATATATACACCTTTATGTTCATTGCAATATCATTTACAGTAGCCAAAATATGGTAGCAACCTAAGTGCCCATTAGTAGATATATGGATAAAGATGTGATATATATATATAATATATATGATGTAATATTTATATATTAATAATTAGTGTATTTAATAATTTACACATTATATATAATTTACTCAGCCATAAAAGTAATAACATTTTACCATTTGTGACAACATAGGTGCATCTAAAGGGTATTACGCTAAGTAAAATAAGTCAGACAGGAAGACAAACACTCTATGAATTCTTTTACATGTGGAATCTAAAAAATGAAACAAATAAACAAACATAACAAAACAGAAACATAGATCCAAAGAATAAACAAGTGGTTGCCAGAAGGGAGGTTGGTGGGAGGAGAAAAATAGATGAGGGAGATTAAGAGGCACAGACTTATAGATGCAAAACAAATGTGTCACAGGCACAAAATGGACAGTGTGGGAACTATGGTCAATAATTATATAATATCTTTCTGTAGTGAGAGACTTCATGGTGATAACTTTAAAATTTATAGAAGTATCTAATCACTATGTTGTGCAACAAGAACTAACATAAAATTGTAAGTCAGTTATTCTTTAAAAACAAACAAGCACAGAAAAAGAGATCAGATTTGCAGTTACCAGAGANGGATGCATGAGACAAGTGTTCAGGGCTGGTGCACTGGGAAGACCCAGAGGGATGGGATGGGGAGAGAGGTGGGAGGGGGTTCAGGATGGGAAACTCATGTAAATCCATGGCTGATTCATGTCAATGTATGGCAAAAACCACTACAATACTGTAAAACAATTAGCCTCCAACTAATAAAAATAAATGAAAAAAGAAAGAAAGAAATTGAATAGTTACATTATAAGTCTATGTTGGGTTTTCTAAGTATTCAATATTACCATCTACTAATAAAAAAGTTAATTTTGTCTCTTCCAACAAAAAAATAAATAAATAAAAGATAAGAAAATACCAGGGATATAATGTAAAACATGAGAAATGTTGTATTATATACATGAAAGCTGTTAAGAGAGTAAATTCTAAGAGTTCTCATTAAACAAAAAAAATTTATTTCTTTAATTTTGTATCTGTATGAGATGATGAATGGTCACTAAACTTATTGTGCTAATCATTTCATGTAAATCAAATCATTATGATGTACACTGTAAATCTATAGAATGCTGTATATCAATTAAATCCCAATAAAAATGGAAGAAAAAAATTCATTTAAAGAGTTAATGAATCAGTCATGCTGCTAAGGCACTTCAGTCATGTCTGACTCTGTGCAACCCCACAGACGGCAGCCCACCAGGCTCCACTGTAAGGCATAAATTATTATCGTGGAGTATTTACTTTGAAAAAGAAGGGAAGCCGCAAGTTGAGGCACAGATGCCTATTTACATACATATGAGGCAAGAGGCACAGGTCTTGGAAAGTTCTTGACCTCAAATTACATTTGTGTCCTATAAGACAGGTCTAGGTAAAAGCAATTATTTCATCCACAGTGTCATCCTGTTAATCCAACATTCCTCAATCGACCTACAAAACATCCCAGAAACATTTTTAGTTTCCTGCTTTGGGATACCCCAAAGGAGTGCAAAACTCAGAAGGCTCAAGCTGCTTGAAGAAATAGGGATACTCCCTACAAGGTTCAAGTTTTCCTCTAGTTGAACTTCTGTTGTTGAACCAGAAGAAGAGCTCTTCTTCTACTGGCCAGTTCTATGAATCAACACAACTTCTTCAAAAACTTCATTTTTCTCCCAGCCAGAACTTTTTTATTTCACAACAAAGCCATTAACTTTGGGGTTTTTATTAATTAATTTAACCAGAGATAACTGATTTACAATATTGTGTTGGTTGCTGTCATACATGAATCATCCATAGATATACATTGTTAGCCTTGTCTTAAACTAAATGTTCTGGATTACTGAAGTCAGCCATAGATAAAATAAATGGAAATCTCTGGCTCCAATAAAATGTTCTAAAAGCCCCCTCTCCCATCCCCATCTTTATCTACCTTCTTCCAACCTGGAAGCACCATGTAGAAGGGACCAGGAAAAGTTTGGCATCAGGCAAAAGTGGGCTTAAACCCTTGTTTCACCATTACAAGCCCGGTGCTCTTAGGCCACCGGATCCATCTGAGCTTCATTTGATCTGATCCAGCTCTGAGCTTCGGTTTCCTCAGCAGTAAAAAGAGAGCCAATGTCTTGTCTCACAAGATGTTTAGGAGGATTAAATGAGATAACTATGAAGACCCAAGTTCCGCAAGGATTCTTAGGTAGAGGCTCTAGTCCCACCTCAGTTGTTGCCCCCCAAAATTCCTTGGGGGTAGACAGCATCCTGTGTTGACCTCAACTCTTTGAAGTGGAAGACTTGCTTGTCTGCTGGTTGATTCCATTTGATTACCCATAACTTTTGCTCTAGTCCCACCTCAGTTGTTGCCCCCAAAATTCCTTGGGGGTAGACAGCATCCTGTGTTGACCTCAACTCTTTGAAGTGGAAGACTTGCTTGTCTGCTGGTTGATTCCATTTGATTACCCATAACTTTAGATTCAATGATCTTTCTACACCCTGGCATATTCAAAATTGGTTTCAATGGTTTTAATGATTTACATGTTTTCCTTGTTTTCTCTTTTGCTTCACCAGGCACAGACTTTTTTCTTCTGTTTTTTTTTTTTTCATCTGTTTGCCAGTAGAGATTTGAATTTGTTACATCAGAAATCAAAGAGAAATTTTTTTTAAATTCAACTTTTGACATCTAGAATTGTATCACGGTATGTAGCAAGACAATAGTCTTGCAAGCCATGCTATTGTCTCAAGAAAACATTTTCTAAATGCTGATGAATTCCATTTAAAACATCAATATCCTGGATGACTGAAAGTACAGAGTTCTCCTAAGGGATGGAGAGGATGTCTTACCCACTGGAGCTAGCTAAATCCCTCTGAGATGGACAGGATGTGACAGTGGGAAAGCATTCAAAAAGCTCTGGGGATGGTGGGAAGTAGAAGAGAGAAAGAGTGAGACATAGCCAGATGTGTGTTCTCTGATATGTTTGTCCTCTGGGCTTAGGCTGGAGGGCTGGGGGCCTGGGGTGAATGATAGGGAAGTGTGATAAATAAGTAAGGATGGCCAAGGAGGGTTTATTGTCTCCACTCTTTTGGAGTGCAGCCGCAGAACATTATCTCAGCTTAGCAAGGTAGGTGCTGAGATTTGATTTTCCAGCACCTCTCACTTCACACTGGTGCTGATGCAGACTAGAGAGCCAGAGATCCTCTGTTAACCAAAGCTGCAAATGGACAGCTGGCCTCTGGCGGGAGGACGGAGGTAGCAGAGATTCAGGGATCTGAAGCCATCAGTAGCTAACCCAAAGGACAGAAAGAGTCACCCCCTCACTCCCACAGACATAAACCAGCAAGGTGAGCGATCATCAGGTAGATGAGGGGACACCAGCCACACACACTTAAGGACCAGTAGGAGATCATAGGTACTCTTTCCCCAGTGTCGTGTTAGAGAGGCAGGAAGAAGGGACACTCCAATGAGATTGAACATTTTTCTCTAAATAATGGGCAGCATATTTCCTAAATGCACAGTTTAGATTATCAGATCAAACTAAATTAAAATTCACTAGACATTCCACTAATTTGTTTTCATGCCATGCAGAAAGCAGTGGTCTGAAGAAAAACCAGATCAGCAATTGGCAACAAAGATCTTATATTCTTTCTGGTTGTCAACTTTGCAATATGAGTTCAAATGGTGATTCTACACCTTGTAGACATTCTACAGTAAAAGTAGCAAGTAATCAGCTAAGACATTCAGTATCTCTTGCCACAGCCTCAGTACTGAGGCCCAGGAGATAGCCGAATGCTTTGGGAGGATTCAGTGCACTGCCCTATGAATCCCTCTAGCATCAGAGAGAGAAAGAAAGAGATAATTCCCACAGGAGGAGGATAAGGGAATGATAGAAGATAACATGGTTGGATGGCATCACCGACTCGATGGACACGAGTTTGAGCAAGCTCTGGGAGTTGGTGATGGACAGGGAGGCCTGGTGTGCTGCAGTCCATAGGGTCTCAAAGAGTCGAACACAACTGAGCGACTGAACTGATTCCCACAGTAGAAAAGCATATGAGGTAGAGGAGAGAGTTGATATACGAAGGAAAAGTAAATATCTGGCTAAAATTCTTTGATGATGCTGGAAACAGAATTATCCTGGCACTGTTTGTTTTCAGTATTAGTGTGTACCTCCTCTACCTTTGTTTCATGATTTTTTTTCCCCTAAAAACAGCCCAGGGATGGCCAGAACTCCTCATGCCACGTACTTCAGACTATTTCCATATTTGATGGAGTCCACAGTTTACAGGAACCGTCTTGTACTGCTCATGAGAGCCAATTGTGAGCTTCCTCCCGAATTCATGTGCAGTGACAACACACTGCTAGCTTCACGTCAATCATGGTAATCAGTAAATGCTACAAGTCAAGGTGTTTTGTTTTTTTGTGTTTTTTTCCTGGAAGTTAAACATTTACTGGCACAGAAGGCCAAAAACATAGACAGTCCCTCCAGGGAAGCACCTTGTGTTTTGGCCTGACCTTCACAAAGCTCTGGGAATCACTTTACTTTCTGAGGGGAGAGGTGAGGCAGCCAAGGATGAGATATGCCAACTTCAGAGTCATCTAGAGCTGGGCATCCAGCCCTCCAGATCCTCCTTGCCCTTGCTAAATATACCTTTCATGGGCTGGATTACCCTCAGCAGCATACCTCTGGCATCACTACCCTACTGAAAGCTCTGACAGCAAGGAAAAGCTGACTAATCCCTGCTGGGGCCACCTGCATGTCTGTCCTTCCTTGCTTCGAGAAAGGAGAAGTTATCAATTACCAAGATTTCATGGGTGAGGCAGCCACAGGTCTCATCTCCAATCGTGACATAATTCAGAGATTCTTTAACAAACTCATCAGCAGTCTTGGTTATCATGTTGGTTTTTAGATACTTTGTCATCGGAGTGGAAATAGCATAAGGCGTCAACACCTGCAACGGGAAATGGAAACCATGACACAGGAACAATCTGCTCGGCCCTGAGAAATTAACACCCATGTTACCATCCCTTCATGTTCAAATTCTGTTCTTCCCTTAAAAAGTCTCAGGACAATATGTGATAATAGAATAGTGAAAGGTGTAGAACCAGCACAAAGCTGGGATCAGAAAGGTTGGTTTCCGGCTTAATTTAGCAACCAACTCTGGATGATGCTTGGTCACACTACATCAGGCGGTTCACATACACACAGTGTGAGTGAGAACATGAGCTCTTAGAACCCAGGTCCCCCACTTGGAAAGTGAAAATGCAGGATGTCCAGTTATACTTGAAGTTCAGACAAACAATGGAAAATTTTTTTAGTTTAATTATATATCAAGTATTGATGGGATATGCTTACTCTCAAAATATCATCTGCTATCTGAAATTCAAATTTAACTGGATGGCCTATGTTTTATCTGGCAGAGATATCACAGAAGTTTATTTCTAACACATGTGACCAAAGTTGGAGCACTTTCAAGTACTTTAGATTCCCACTTTCACACTTCAGTTAGGAATGGCACATACCTCATAATCTTTCCTATTCTGATAAGAAAAAACTCAGCACACTGGCCTCTGAAAACCCCACCATGTTTCCACCGGTGGTCTCACCACATGTGGCCTGGCATGAGGTTTCATGATGGGGTTTCTTACTTTATTCCCTGACATAGAGACCTTGGCATCTTTAGGGGAAAAAAAAAAACCCATGTTTGTTTTCTTTCTCTTCACATTACTTTTGAAATTTCGGTCACATCACTTTTTTTTCTAATCACACTTGAAATTACATTGTTTCACAGTTGAATCCAATGTGTGTCAGTCAATTCAATTCAATTTGTTCTCATGGACATTGACACAGTTATTAATTTGTATAATACTCCAAATAATTCCAAAGATCTCTAAGTGTACTGTTAGAGAAATATAAGAAGCATGCATTTTCAAACCCAGTTTTCAGATAGGGAAATAATAAAAGTGTTTCCATTCCCACAGTGAGTTTTGGTTGACAAAACACCTTTCTGTACCAAACAAGGGCTCAATAAATATTGGTAAAAATTTGCATAATTACTTATCCACTAGATCTTCACAGTAACCCAGAGAAGTAAGCAGCTATTTTAAACCCCTTTTTACAGATGGAGAGACAAGCTCAGAGAGTTCAAACAGGCTGTTCAAAATCACTCCGAGGATAAATGGGAGCACTGGGATTTGAAAATCAAACCCAAGTGTACAGTGCACACTCCCTCAGGAATTTTACAAATATTCATTGAGTACCAATTACATGCGTGTTTGGAGAGACCAGTTAGTTTTCAAAACATCATAGGGTCTTTTCCAGGACTTGTAGCAGCTCCAAAGCTTCTGCATGAGAGAAGGAGCTCCCTTCTTCTATCGCACCTCCACCACATCTGCTCCACAGAACCCACTGACTTAGCAGCTACAGTATCTCTGGCCCACAGCTATCAAGCTCAAGATGATGCTGAGACTGTCACATGGCCAAGAAGCAATGGCTCTGGTAATCATTAGCACTGTTCACCAAATATTTCTAGTTCTTCTTTCTTCCAAACACATGATAGAATTGCACTTCCTAGGTTCCTATATTGGGGGCGGGGACCATGTAATCAGATCTAACCAATGATTATGAGTAAAAGTGACAGGTGACCTGTCTGACCCAGAGCCTTTAATTATCAAAGGAAGTTCTCATGAACTTGTACCACTTTTTCTCTGACAAGTCAACTGACAATATTCAAGATGGAGCCTGCTCCATCAGCCTGGGTACCTGTGTCACCACAGTGAACTAATCCCCTCTGACAGTTCACAGTGAATAGGTAGCACGAAAGAGAAATAAATCTTTGTGCTTTTAAATTAATGACATTTTAGGAATTATTTTTTACTGCAGCAAAATTAGCTTATGCTGCAAAAGGAATCTGTCCTCGGCTAGAAGCTGCAGAATGGATAGAAGGGAAAAACATTTGATAAGTAAGACTTCAGTTCAGCAAGGCTGAGAATGGGATTGTACTCACTATAACTGGGAAGATGCTTTTATTTACACAGTTCCTCCTATTAACTCACACCTGCCTATTGAATAAGCTTTATCCTATAGCTGGTTAATTCATAGGAATGGCTGCCTGAGTGTTTTAGTTGAAAATTGGTATGTACAGCACTAATTTTAAAAATATAAATATGAGTGTGCCTTTTTCATATATAATGGTGGTGGTTTAGTTGCTAAGTGGTGTCCAACTCTTGTGACCCCATGGACTATAGCCTGCCGGGCTCCTCTGTCCATGGGATTCTCCAGGCAAGAATACTGGAGTGGGTTGCCATTTCCTTCTCTAGGGGATCTTCCCGACCCAGGAATTAAACTCAGGTCTCCTGCACTGCAGGCAGATTCTTTATCAACTGAGCTACATGGGAAGCCCTATTCATATATAATAGTATGTCATCAAACTTCTCTGCAAACAATTAACCAAAAATCTCTCTAAACTGTTTATTCAAGGTTCCAGAACCACTTAAGAGTTAACTGTGTTGCCAGAGAAAGCACATGGCATATTGTTCAGGCTAAAGACAGCAGTGATGATCCAACTCTGTTTACATTTCAAACAAGGCCAACTCCATGACTGTGCTGTCAGTGTGGGAGAAAGAGAAAGCAGAGAACTTCTTCCCCAGCTTCTCAAGAGCCAAAGTGTGGGAATCTCTGGGGCCCGTCACAGATGAACAGCAACCAAACACAGCACTCTCTCCCCCTTCCAACATAGACCAATATCCGGTTTTCTTTTGTTTGTTCCCCACACGTAGTTCCTCCCACATGAGCCTATCTTCTGGATCTAGGTCAGAGAGTAAAGGATGGTTAGACAAGATCCTAATTTCTGTCCGGATGGCAGCATCAGGCGGCAAGTGTTTCTGAGCACTCACTCACCCCACCCCATTTCCTTCTCCGGCACTCAGGGCACAGATGAGGGCAGCAACAGGCAGAACCATGGTGGCCCCGCTGCCACCCCAAGGATCACAGGGACCCACGTGGTGTCATACAGACCCTCTCTCCCAGTCACACATGCTCAGACCGTCCTGCCAGAAGGAGTGGCCCTGGCTCCATGGGGTCCAGAGTTCCCATTCCCAAGGACTCAGAACGGTTGACCTCACCTGGATGATGATTCCCTTCTCCTTATACTCTGCTTGCAGTGCCTTGGAAAATGTGCACACAAAAGCCTGGAACAAGAAGGAGAAACACCTAAGGACTTGATTCTCTCTCAGAGCCAACTTGCTCAGATTTCAAAGGACACCAAGGGAGCTCGCCTTGATGGGAGTCAGTTAGAACTTCATTTCCTGGTCTGGAAAGAGCTTCCTCAAAGAGCAGGAACATATATTTTGTAATAAATACCTACTTAGGGCCACCGCCTGTCCAGGTTATACCCAGAGAGGTCTCTATCAATACAATGTTACTTGCTGGCATGAAGAGTGTACCGGCTCCCAGGCAAGGAAGTGAAAGGGGGCTGGAATTCCATCCCGGCTGCACTGCCTGGCTGGGCTACTGCAAGGCTTCATCAGCCCAGGGGCACATCTTTTTCAGATTTGCACCCAGATACTGGTGGACTAGCTCCCTGTACCTAGAAGAGTGCCTCTAGGCAAATCTGCCTATCAGCTTGCCAGATGATCTGAAGGAAAAGTACTAAAAGGGAAAACCAAGGGGAAGAAGGAGAAGGAGATTTGGACTACATCTGTCACTCACCTTGGAAGCTGAATACGTGGAATACAGAGGCCAGGGAAAGAGGGCCACCCCAGAAGATATGTTCAAGATGAGACCTTTCTGCCTAACAGGCAATGAAACAAAGTTTCAGTTACTTTGATACTTGATTACACCTTGAGAAGGAAGAAAATAAAGGGACTAATGTGACCATTAGGAAACTTCCATCCTCTCTAGGTTTCTGTGTGTGTGCTAAGCCTTTGGCTTCCAAGAACTGTGAGTCCAACTTCACCTCCATCATGAACAATACTACCATACAGTGGTGTCAGTTGGTAGCCAGTTGACTTCAAGGGCTGGTGACAGGAAACAGGGGCTCAGCTACAGCAAAGATCCCCCACAAAAATGCAGAGAACCAACTCAGCTCAGACAAGACTCAGGGGGAAGGGAGCCTTCTCTCTCAAGCATGACCACATGAGCTCAAAGTCCCTTCTGACTCATAAAATGACCCACAACAGGACAGATGTCATATGTAGAATCCTCTCCTGGGTGGAATTTGACAGCCCATCATCAGCTTACACAGGCACTCCTACACAAGTCTCTGAGGTTCTTACCCTTTGGAAATTCAGTATTCTTAACCCTTCCCTAGTAGATGGATTCTATCCAGAAAAAACCAAGAAACTTCAAATTTGAATACCAGGGCCAAGCCCCTTCTTTCTCTAAGGAAGATAGAACTATCAACCATTTGCTTTAATGAATACCACCTGAGAAAAACCAGTTCCCAAATGGGCATTGTACTAGGGTGATTTAAAATGTGGAATAAAAATAAATGAATAAAAATAAAATAAAATGTGGAATAAATAGACACTGATGGGATAGTGATTTTTACCCCTAAATTGGAACGTTCATTCTGACAAGAGTTGAAATGCATAATAACAAAGAAATGGTCTCAGGCCAAGTTCTGAAGTTTCTTTTAAGCTCATTGTGAGTTAGTTTTTTTTTTTTTAATACAAGGACCACTGGAATTGCTATTTTCTTCCTCCCTCCAGTATATGCTACATTTGACCTTCAAATATGCTTATCTGTTGGCAAAGCTGGCCTGGTCCAGAATGTTAGGCTTACAACCCGTAATCTCCATGTCCTTTCACCACAGTTTTATCATTTGTTAAAGCAGCAGCAGATGAACCCTGTCCCCCTGATCCCTCATCCTAAAACTGCCAAGCCAGGCAACACAGGCTGCTCCAAGTTTTTTCAAGGAAAGAACTTACCTTGATTTCATGTGTTTCAGAATCAGCTGTGTCATCTATAAGAGAAGGCCAAAGTTAAGCCCTTACCTTTAAAGAAACAAGGTAACAATGGGCAGCGGGAATTTGGGAAATAGGCATGGGAAGAAACTGGAGAAAGAACTTCAGCTTTTCAAATGGCCTTGAAAATCTGCTGACACTCACTGGAGGTAATTTGGCAACATTAGACTCTGCTGGAACCTACAGTAGGCATCGTAAACAAATGGCCAACAGGTCACAGGCCTCTAGTTTCTTCTTCATAAAACAAGTCTTTGTGGTAAATGGAGTGAAAAGCTATGGAATTGACTTATGGCTATGGGACCAACACTGAGGCTCCCAGATACCCTTCATTCTGGCAGAGAGGTAAAAGTAGGCTGGCCATTGTAAAACTCACACAGGAGTTAGAATTAGGGGACCGTCAGGAAACCTAACACATGTCCATCTCACATACAAGGTATGAGATAAAGAAGAACATCTCTTCAATTCAACAGCAGCGTTGTTAGCCTGCATGTGGTCTATGAAACAGCCCCCTAGATACATGTCTGCTGGTCTGCTGGAGTTACAACAGGATTGAAAAATCCCTTCCCCACTCCAATTTATTGCCCCTGGAAGAGGTCTTCCCTGCCAGTTCTGGAGCAACACCCTTGCCTTGATTCTCCTAACTTCATTAAGGTGGAGCACTATTGGACAGCATTTCTCAGTCTCCCAAAAGCCTGATTGGGTGAATGATCCCAATTAGAGAGACAACACTGGACTTTGTGGGTCCCTGTCTCAAAGGTCCCAGTATTTAGTCTCTTATCCTACCTTCCCTTTGCCCTCAAACTCATTCTCCAGTTTTGCCCTTGATAGAGAACTCTAGTGTTTCCCGATGGTTCCTTTAGAATAATTAAATGATACTAGTCAACATTCAGAAAACTAAGATCATGGATCTGGTCTCATCATTCCATGGCAAATAGATGGGGAAACAATGGAAACAGTGACAGGCTTTATCTTTTGGGGCTCCAAAATCACTGCAGATGGTGACTGCAGCCATGAAATTAAAAGATGCTTGCTCCTTGAAAGGAAAGTTATAACCAACCTAGACAGAATATTAAAAAGCAGAGATATTACTTGCCAACAAAGTTCTGTCTAGTCAAAGCGATGGTTTTTCCAGTAGTCATGAATGGATGTGTGAGTTGGACCATAAAGAAAGCTGAGCACTGAAGAACTGATGCTTCTGAACTGTGGTGTTGAATAAGACTCTTGAGAGTCCCTTGGACTGCAAGGAGATCCAACCAGTCCATCCTAAAGGAGATCAGTCCTGAATATTCATTGGGAGGACTGATGCTGAAGCTGAAACTCCAATACTTGGGCCATCTGATGTGAAGAACTGACTCATTGGAAAAGAGACTCATTGGAAAAGATCTGGATGCTGGGAAAGATAGCAGGCAGGAAGAGAAGGGGTTGACAGAGGATGAGATGGTTGGATGGCATCACTGACTCAATGTACATGAGTCTGAGCAAGCTCCAGGAGTTGGTGACAGACAGGGAGGCCTGGCATGCTGCAGTCCATGGGGTCACGAAGAGTTGGACACAACTGAGCAACTGAACTGAACTGAACTGAACTGAGTCATGTTTTCAACTAACATGGCCATCTTGGGCATGACATACTTAGAAGCTAACCTTCAATTTATTTTCTTTTTCACTTAAGGAAGTTAGCGTCTACCAATGTATAAAATATATTTTTTTAGAAAATCAAAGCATTTTTCTGCTAAAAGAGTCAGAAAGTTGTCAAATACATTTGGGAAACCCTGTGATCAAATGGACCAAGACTAAAAGATCGATGTATACATTAATGGAAAGGTTTTAGTGGTAAGGCTGCAGACAACAGCGGGAACATATAAAACTTTCAGTTATATGGGCTGGGGATTTTAAAAAGCCATTGATTGCTCAGCATAAAAAGAATGTATATTTACCAAAACAAACAAAGAAACAAACCAATGGTGAAAATAATTTTTGTCAGCTCAACCAAAAATATATATATTTTTTTTGTTTTGGTCTGCTCAGCATCTACCCCCCTTTCCTCTGGAAAGCAGTCTTCTGCTGCCAGTGCATGTAATGAAGACGAGACTGTGCTTCCCACTGCTTTCCAAGAAAGGTTCCAGTTTCATGAAATCAGTCATGCCTGATTCATTGCTGAAGTTCCACTGAAACATCCAGAGCTTCCAAGCACAGTTGGGAATTTTGTGTACCAAACAAGATGCCTAGCTGTGGGAGTGAGTGCGGGCTAAAAGTCCAGGGTTCACTCAAGCCATTTAGATGGCTTTCATCATTCAGAGGTAAAGGAAACATTGTTTTCACACAAAAGCATCATCTACTCATCAAGCACAGGGCTATGTCCACTCTCAGGCAGCATCTTTCTCCAAACTGTCTGCCCAGACAATTTGTCTACCTATTTTTTTATTCACACAAAGGTACAGCATAAGATAGCTTTGTGGTAGTCATGGCTATAAATGCTTATGCAGTAAATTCTAATAAAAGGACCTGAGTGCTGAATGGTACTTGACATACCATTTAGTTCAATCCTCAATACATTAATAGCAGATGAAGAATATGAAGTTCAAGGGAGCTAAATAGCATGCCCAGTGCTGCCTACTTAACTAGTAACTGATCTGCAATCAGAATACATATGCCCTTGAACTTCAATTCAACAAATATTTTTTTTAACAACAAGAGTCTATAAAATTCAAACCACAGTCTCTGTCCTTTTTCCAAACAGAGTGAGCTTTCCTCTATTTACAAAGACTAAATTCAGAGGAAGGTACTAATTTTTATAAGTTTCTTTGGAATCCTGAATTCATCATCATCAGGCCTCATATGTTCTGACATAGGACAAAACTGAATGCAGAAATAAGATTCAGATGCTAGGGAGAGTGAATCCACTGTATTTCCTTGATGAAAAAAAAAGACAATTAAAAGGCTACTACATAGTCTTTCAATCAATTACAGTTCAATTTTAAAGAATTCTACATTTACGGGGAAGGGGCCAGTTCTCCTGAGTTGCCAAATTCCAACAGTTACTACATTTTAATGCATTGAGCATATACATTGATTACATACCTTCACAACTGAGGTGATGTTACAGTGGATGAGGCTCTGTAATAAATAATTACAATCATGATTTAGCTGGATCATTTGAGAAATTCTCTTGAGAAATATTGTGCTAAAGAACCACAAAGTGGGCAAAAGTGTGTACCTCAATTAAGAGTTTCTTTGAAAATTTAGGGAGGAATATGGACACTGTTTCTCAAAGGGAGATGGTTAATTTCCAGCTGAAGGAAGGGAGGTTAGTATATGTGGGTCTAGAAGACACTAACATAAAGATTATAAAGATGAATGGTTGTATAATACAAGGTAGAGGTTCTGGGCTACAGAAGCCAGATAAAGAAACTACTAGAATTACCCAAGACACACAAAGAGGGAAAGAGGGACAGACACATAGACAAGTACAAATGCAGACATAAATAAAGAGAAGCAGGAATGGGATGAGCTTAATGAAAAGACACAGATTTATGCCAGAAACAGGGAACATGGAGTGAGATATGTGGCCAGAAGAGGTTTGGTGAGAGGTTCAGCAGTGTCCAAGCAATCTGGCATTATTCGTCCATGCAGTACACTTGGGGCTTACATAGAACCTTAGGACTACTTGCAGGATTGGGGAATAGAAGCATCATAGCCTGTTCGAAATTAGTATAACCCTTTGATTTCAAAGGTCAAAGCCTAGAGAAGAGTCAAAATACAGTGCCTTCAAAGACTGTTAATGCATAATAAATTTACTCAAGACCAACAATGACAGTCATGGGTCTGAGTTAAGCTTGTTGAACTTACAACACCCTCAGCCACAAAGTCTGTATTACGGACTTCCCTCACACTGAAAGTTGAATGAATCTTATGACCTTGAAAGGTAAAGAAAGCCAAAGAGCTGGCTTTCTCCCACTGAATCCAGAGCTATGAATTTGTTAGGAGCATTACCTCCCTTATAAAGCACAGTGTGGAGCCCCCAAAAGACTGGGGACAAGTGAATTTTGATGTGTGGAGAAGAAGGAAGATGTTTTTTTCCTAGAGATAGTCCGGAACAGTGATACCCTTCACTATGTATCAAGTACTCAGGTGAGTACTTGAAGGTGACACCTCCAGTCATCCACCTGGATTGCAGAATTTTGGCCACACTCCCATCACCCCTTCCCAGCCCTGGTATTACCCAGTTGGGGGCTCAGGACTCGGGGAGAGGAAAACATCCACAGAACATACAAGCCTACCTGGATGTCATCTGGCGTGTTAAGGAAATGGCTTGGGAGAAGGTTTGGAAGCATTCCAACATTGTTGACTGACCAAGAAAAGCAAAACAAAAGATATCAGAAGACTCCATGGCAAATGTCTATTGAAAGCCTTAAAAATTGTCATATTCAACCCAGAAATTCTTCTCTTGGGAGGTTTTCCAAGAAAGCATGTACAAAACAATGTATATAAAAGGCTGTTCACTGCAATATAATTCAATAATAGTGAGGAAATTGGAAGGGAAAAAACTGTGGTGCAATAATACAATGCAGATAAAATGTATAATGATGCAGCCATATAGTGGGATGCTATGCGGTCATTCAAAACTATGACTGCTCAGAGTTTTAAAAACCTGGGAGAACATTTTTGATGTATAATTTTTTTAAGTGTTGCAAAACAGTATGTAAGTTTAATCCTCATTTTGAAAATATGCATGTATGTATCTGGAAAGATATGTACCAAGATGCTATCTCAGGCTGTTAAAGATTTTAAGGAACTCATAATTCTTTTATGTGTTCATCTGCTCTTTCTAGTTTTTCTAGAGTACATTTTACATTATTATTAGTAAACATGCAATTATTTTGAAAATTAAAATCCTCCTTCTCTCTACAATACACTGTACTGTGTATGTGATCACAAAACAGATCATCTAAAAATTATCACAGAAAAAAATTGTACCTTATTTCCCAAATGAGAAACTCTATCCTCAAATGATCATACTGACTCACTACTTCATGAATCAATCACAGCAATATTTGTTTATTGAACTAATTCCATTGGACCAAAGTTTCGCTATTCCTGTCAAATGTCAACATTCAGTGAAAGAAAAGTATTTTAATACTAGGAAATATGGTTGGGAAGATTGAAATTATGTAGGTTTGCTACATTTCAAAACCATATACAAATTTGTTGATCCAATAATGCCTTTTGCAGAACTGAACTTTAATATTTGGTTTAATGCTACAGCTTACAGTCATGGGTTAAATTTAAGCAACTACTGAATAATCAAATCTCACTAAGATCATTATTTCACTGACTTATTTCGACAAGCTTTGCATTATTGCAATTTACTTACCTAAAATTCCAATTTCTAAGTCTTTAAGTTTTTCTTTAATATACTCATAGATGTCATCTTTGGCAAAATCTGCTTGTATTATCTTCACGGTACTTCCTATCGTCCACTCTGCATTAGAGACAACAGTTATTTTTCAATGAACAAGTGTCCAAATCCCCCTCTTATCTCTATTCCCCTAATACTCCCTGAGTATTACCTGAACAGAACAGAAACTTAAGAGCACAAGCCCATCATCTTAATTAGAAACAAGAAATGGCTTCAGATAAATGCTGGAATGTGCTAAAAGATTTGTGAATGATGGTTTCTGTGTGATTCTAAGATTCACTGCAGTGACAAGTAAAGGCATTATAACAAATTTAATACAATAGTTCTCAAAGCAAGGTCCACAGATCACAGCATCAGCACCACTGGTAACTTGTTAGAAATAAAATCTCAGGCTCCACCCAGACCTACTGAACCAGGAAACCCTGGGAGTGGGCCTGGTGATCTGTTTTCACAGCACTGGGGGTGACTGTGGTGCATGCTCAAGTTGCAGACCTGCGGACTAAGGGCTGTTAGAGCGAAGTGTGATCCCTGTGCTCGGTGAGTATCAGGTCCTCTCCACATACACTCAGAAACCCTTTGCATTTGTCCAGCACTTTGGCATTTATAAAAACATTTACACGCAGAGTATATTTTTTAACATTCTCAAGAACGAAGTAGGTATTGTCTCCACTTTCTGGAGGAGAAAATTAAGGCTCTAAGAAGCTTACTAGCTTGACCAAGGGCAACCACCCCCTGCTCCCTGCAAGTTCAATCCTCTTTCCACTAGTCTATGTGGAAAGAGTCTATGTGAACTAGTCTGTGTGAACTATGTCACTAGTCTATGTGAACTTTCCTTCTGTGGGAGCTTTCTCTTGGATATAAAAACTGCAGGCAGATTTCACTAGCTGCTGCCCACTCAGCTCTGGAGTTAGATCCAATATTTCTGGGGCAAGTGATCTTTAGGCATAGTCTGGGGACACTTCAAAGACACTACTTGCTTTTCAAAAAGACAATAAAAAGTGCACAGTAAGGGAAATACTGAAGAACGTCATAGTCCTGCTCAAAGTTATTTCAGATCCAGTCAGAAAACAAAAGAAGAATTCACTGGTTCAAGGGCATTGAGCCTCCTCATTGTGATTGTTCAGCCACATACTCCCCCATGGTCTTCTCTTATCCCAAATTTCTTCCAAGGAAATAAGACTGTCCCCAGACAGCCTGCTATGGTCTTCATGAGTCTTCATAGTTGAAAACTCATTCCTTTGCATTGAGTTTATTAATCACTAAGTTAATAATTAATTATTAAAATTCAAATGCTCAGAAGGGGATATGATGGTCATTATTAGTAACTAAAAACACTTAAGAGTGGATCATCAAAATAAAACATTATAATATAAATCCTATCTCTTAAGGTTGTATAGTGTACAACCCTCACACCATACATGGCAGCCCTGAATCAAATCTTTTTTTGTTTTTTTTAAATCTAACAACAAGCAGTGGGCATTGTCTCTCAACCCTCTGCAAGGAGCAAAGCACAGACATAGGGAAGGGAAGTCCCTGCTTTTGAAGGAAGTAACTGAAGCAATCAGACAGCTGAGGCCTCTGGGGAGGGGATCTGATTCTAGAGACAGAGACACTAGACCCAAGAAAGGAATGGATCTATTTGTAGGGTGAATGTGTTTCTGCTTCATGAAGCCCAAAGAATCACTGATGAACTAAAGAGAGCTAAAGCCACTTATGTCCTGCCCTTAACTTTGTAAACTGGGCTCCCCGAAGGAGGCTGGTACCCCAGGCACCAGAGAGCAAATGTAGGGAGGCTGACAGATGCCTCCACAGGCAGGATGTGAGCAAACCTGGCAAGTGGGCTCCACAAACATCTCCCTTATTTCTTGGAGTCACTCACCAATCTCCGCAGCAATGGCCTGTAGTTTTTCCAGTGTCCGGCTGATAAGCACGACATTGAATCCCTGTCTTGCTAACTGAAGGTAGGGATGGGAAAACCAAAAAAGAGATGATAAGCAGAAAGGAAGACTTGTTATATTAAAGTGAGTTGGAGCATCACCCATCTGGTCATAGGGTGATATGCTTGATCTTCCTAAGTGTAAATGTGCACAATGTGACAACGGTTTCTAGGTTAAGTAAAACAGCCACACTGGGCCAGGCTAAAGGTGACATAATACCAGTAGTTTATTTGTGTATGCTTATTATATGCCAGGGCTTCCCTCGTGGTCAGCAGTAAAAATCCACCTACAATGCAGGAGACGCAGGTTCAGTCCCTGAGGTGGGAGGATGCCCTGGAGCAGGGCATGACAACCTACTCGAGTATTCCTGCCTGGAGAATCCCATGGACAGAGGGGCCTGGAGGGCTAGAGACCACAGGGTCTCAAAGAGTCGGACGGGACAGAAACAACTGAGCACATATTACATGCCAGGAACTATTATTCTAAGTGCTTTTTTGTACAGATCCACAATCTGAATGCCTTCTACCTGAAGCATTAAAGGTCAGATGTGTGTTGGAATTCAGAATTTGGGGGATTTTATACTATAATCTATGTAACAAGGTCTAGGGCCGCAACCTATAATAAAAAAAAAAAATTCTGCAGCAACTTTTGAGCTGCCTCCTCTTCACAAGGATGTTCTTCTTGTGGTTCTCTTCACTCAGGCAGTCATGGACCCGAGCCCTCTCTTTCTGTTCTCTGGCTCCCAACAGGATAGAAAATGAAATAGGGAGCTGGAGAGTAAATGGATGTTTTCCTGTGATCAGAAGGAACTCTCTTCAGAATGGACAATGCCTCGACTCACAGGGGCAGAACAACAATGTGCAGAAATGGCATGCATTAATATGGCCCAGAGGACACATGTGTTGGGTGGTCACAGACTGGCCCAGACTCCTCATACCTAAAAATGCTACAGGTAAGAAAAGACAGAGCTTTGCCTGAAGAAAAACAGGAAAACCAACGTTCATCTGGAGAGAAACAGACAATATTTGAATTAGTGACAAAGGACTCATGGAGTCCTATCCCAAGCCCACAGGTGCAAGGCCGCGCGCCAAGGCCACAGAGGCGGAGCCCAGAGCCAAGGTCATCTCCAGAAATGACTGAGCCCCTTTGTAACCGCTGCCAAAAGCCCTCAGTCTTTATCAGCCAGTTCCTGACCCCATATTAGGCAAAAATGCCCACCCCGCTCCCCACCCTACAGTGCCCTAACCAATCACTTAAGGCTATCCTTCCAGCAAGAATTTTCTTTGTCTTGAGGCTCCAAAAATTGGCTACTAACCCAGGAAGAGTCATCTTTCCCTGGTCTGTCAGGAAGTCGGCTTGTTATATTTGCAGCGTCCCTCACTATCTATTCAGAAGTATCAATTCTTTCAGAACTATCTGTTCAGAAGTATCTATTACTTCCCTGGGCTTTCCCTTGAGCCAGTCCACCTTGTAATAGCTTCCTGGGGACTCTCCCCTGGTCTGTCAGGAGGTTAGCCCACTGTGCTTGCAGCACCTTCATTATCTCTGCTTTTTGTTCTTAATAAAGTCACTCCTTTCTGAAATACTCTGCCTGGAAATTCTTTTCCAACCCAAGCTCAGACTATGGAGACATGGCTCAATTAACTGAAATCCTTCTTAATGTTTTTAATTAAATGAAACTATTACAATTTTAAACCGTGGTAAAATACACATGACATAAAATTTGCCATCCTAACAACTATATGGAATGTTTCACAAATTTGCATGTCATCCTTGCACAGGGCCCACGCTAATCTTCTCTGCATCGCTTCAGTGTTAGCCTGTGTGCTGCCAAAGCAAACACTATGCCAAATTTTCACAAGTTATATTATAAAAACACTTCAGCTGAATTGAGGACTTTACCATATAGTCTCCAATAGCCAATATTCAAGCCTGTGGTCTCAGAATCACCCAGGAAGACATCAAACAAACAAACAAAACAATTCCCACCAAAACCATCCAGTTAACAATCTCTGAGGGCAGTGGCCAAAGCATGTGCAGCACCCTGATCGTTCCCAGGCCTGTCCCCGGCCAGGCTGCCAGGGCCACCCGACCCAGCAGGTGCTGCAGAGACAAGGGGACTCGAGGTGCAACCAGGCTGCAATCCTCTCCCTCGACGGGCAGCCCCAGAGTCTGGGCCTGCGCGCTAAGAAGCACCTGCGGGCCTGCTGCAGCCATCTGTTGCTGGAACCAAGGGCAGGGCCTTGATGCCCAGGGCCTGCTCAGCCCTCAGACTGGGCCAGAGCCTGGACAGGCAGTGCCAGAGAAGGCTTGTGGCCTGCCCTCGAAAGACGCAGTGGGATGTGCCTCATTCAAAGAACCAAACATATCTGGATTCCCAGACCCAAAGGCATGGAGGAGACTCACTTCATCAAGGACACAAGGCAGTATGACTCCAGGAGCCGCAGGACTGTGCTGATCTGNTAGAATTTTTAGATTTAAAATGAAAGTTGAGCAGAATGACTGAAAGAAAAAGGAAACAAGAAATCATGGATCCTAGTAATATTAAATCTAAGGATAAATATAAAAGTTTAAAATATTTTTTAAGTGAAAAGTTTTACAAAATTACATCAATTTTTTTGCCCAAATATCTTCTCAACTGGATGAGTTTTTAGGAAACAATTCATGTATGCTCTCAAAGTTGAGTCAAAGTGCTTTTAAGTCTAGATTTCTATACTTAGCCAGTTAGCAGTCATATCTGTGTGCAGGATAGAGGTATTTTTAAGTTTCTTAGGCTTCCTTGATAGCTCAGTTGGTAAAGGATCTACCTGCAATGAAGGAGACTCTTGTTCATTTTCTGGGTCAGGAAGATCCACTGGAGAAGGGATAGGCTACCCACTCCAGTATTCTTGGGCTTCCCTGGTGGCTTAGTTGGTAAAGAATCTGCCTGCAATGTGGGAGCCCTGGGTTCGATCCCTGGGTTGGGAAGATCCCCAGGAGAATGGAACAGCTACCCACTCCAGTATTCTGGCCTGAAGAATCCCATGCACTGTATACTCCATGAGGTCACAAAGAGTCAGACACGACTGAATGACTTTCACTTTTTTTCATGCAGCAGTTCTAGCCCTGCCAGCCTCCTTGGCGCTCCTGGCACTTCATGAGTCCGAAGGTGGGCTTCCGGCGCTGGAGCGTGGATGGCGGCCTTCCCTGGCTGGTACCGCTGCTTTGCCACACCCTTGCTTCCTTGGAGAGACATTGCTTCCATTCCAAAGCACAGCACACTGCCACAGTATTTCTAGGACCCCCCTCCTATTTTCTTCTGTGAACAAAATGTGGAATTTTGTTATGGTTTCTTTTTATCCTGTGCCTGGGACTGGTCTGGCATCAGGACTTTGATTTACAATGTGAAGTGGTGAATCCTGACAGCATCTCTCATCCCTGCATCACCCAGCCTTCTGCTACCATCATTGCCACTGCGCTAGCATCTATCTGGTAGAGACCTTGGTCTCCAGATCTCGCTGCAAATCATGGATTTCTGGAGTTGACCTGTTAGAGCATTAATCTAGGCTACTTGGGGTTTTCTGACATGGAAATCACACTATGGAACCCTCCTCCCCTCTGCCAGTTTCCCTCCCAGCCAAGGACAGCCCCTTGGGGGTGTCTGCCCACCTCCCCGTATCCATTAGCAGAGCTCTGGCATTAGCCTAAAGCCAATAAGAGCAGGCCCCTAATTGGTTTGGGTCTCATTCTTTCACTCTGGGATCTCTGTTCTTCCAAGGATCGCATCCCCTAGGTGTCATGTAACCCAACAGGCCTCTCAGCACAGAACCAGCCCACCCCAGGCAGGGATCTGCCTCACCAGGAAAACCCCATTTGCCTGTGACTCTTAGGACCTTCAGGATGACTGGATTGCTGGCTCTTGATTTTCCTAAGCAATATTGTGGAGAAAAAAGGTATTTATTGTCATTTAGAATTTGGTTCTTTGCATTTTTTTTTTTTTTGCAAGGAAACAAAAGCTGGCTAAACGAGGTCTGTCAAAGTTGTGATTTCAACCACATTTGACTCTCCAGCAGGGAGGAAAGAAACCACTTCAAGCCCTGCCTCCCCACATGGGTGGGGGCCCAGGCCTTCTTCTTCCCTTGAGGGAAGTGGAAGTCACCTTGTCTGGAGCAGACACCTACCAAGCAGACCCCAAGCACTGGTCGTTGCCCTCATAGTCAGTTCTGGGCCCAGCACGCCAGCTTGTCCACACTACATGTAGCCCAGGTTTTCCACTTGCTGCTCCACCAGAAACACCAAAGACCAAGGACTAGAGCTTCTCCTTCACAGGTCAGCAGCTCTCGGAAAGAACGGTGTTAGCCAGACCATTAAGCTGCTTCCCTACCGCTGTCTCATGGACCTGTCACTGGAGGGGCTCTAGGACAGTCCCACTTGCATCCTACCTATGTGGACTGGTGCTTTTGCAGAAAGGAGATACCAGCCCTCATCAGAACACTCAGCCACCAGCCACTAAACCGAGACCCCAGCAGGAGTGCAGACGAGCGCTCAGACCCTGCTGGCTGCTATTCCTTCTTCCTAAGTTGCTTACACGGGCTAAGGGGGACTTCAGGGTGGAGTGTGAAGCCCAAGTCTGTATTCTCACCTAATTTACTGAGTACCTTTTCCCTGTACACCCCAAGAAGTGAAGTCGCTCAGTTGTATCCAACTCTTCACAACCCCATGGACTGTAGCCTATCAGACTCCTCCGTCCATGGGATTTTCCAGGCAAGAGTATGTCCCCCAAACTAGATGTGCACCAAGGAAGGCATGAAGGATGAAGCTGCTGGGCCCCAGGCAACTCTTCTAGAAAGTGACCTGTCCTCCCACCACAGCATCTCAAGGACACTCCTGTTACAGACACTGCAAGGGACCAACTTCCAAAATCTATGTCCTGGTCTACAACTAGCCTTTAAGGAGGCTAACATCTTCCTGGGTATTTCTATATAGATTTCAGAATGGCTGATACAGTAACTGAAGTTTGCGTGTTAATGTGGTGAGAA